GTCTAAACCAGGACTAAACCAGGACTAAACCAGGACTCCAGGTAAACCAGGACTAAAACCAGGTCTAAACCAGGACTAAACCAGGACTAAACCAGGACTGAACCAGGTCTAAACCAGGACTAAACCAGGACTAAACCAGGTCTAAACCAGGACTAAACCAAGACTAAACTAGGACTAAACCAGAATGAAAACCAGGTCTAAACCAGGACTAAACCAGGACTAAAACCAGGTCTAAACCAGGACTAAACCAGGTCTAAACCAGGACTTAAACCAGGACTAAACCAGGACTAAACCAGGTCTAAACCAGGACTAAACCAGGACTAAACCAGGACTAAACCAGGACTAAACCAGGACTAAACCAGGTCTAAACCAGGACTAAACCAGGTCTAAACCAGGACTAAACCAGGACTAAACCAGGACTAAACCAGGACTAAACCAGGACTAAACCAGGACTAAACCAGGACTAAACCAGGACTAAACTAAACCAGGAACTAAACCAGGACTAAACCAGGACTAAACCAGGACTAAACCAGGACTAAACCAGGTCTAAACCAGGACTAAACCAGGACTAAACCAGGACTAAACCAGGTCTAAACCAGGACTAAACCAGGACTAAACCAGGACTAAACCAGGACTAAACCAGGTCTAAACCAGGACTAAACCAGGTCTAAACCAGGACTAAACCAGGACTAAACCAGGACTAAACCAGGTCTAAACCAGGACTAAACCAGGACTAAACCAGGACTAAACCAGGTCTAAACCAGGACTAAACCAGGTCTAAACCAGGACTAAACCAGGACTAAACCAGGACTAAACCAGGTCTAAACCAGGACTAAACCAGGACTAAACCAGGTCTAAACCAGGACTAAACCAGGTCTAAACCAGGTCTACTAAACCAGGACTAAACCAGGACTAAACCAGGACTAAACCAGGACTAAAGGACTAAACAGGACTAAACCAGGACTAAACCAGGACTAAACCAGGTCTAAACCAGGACTAAACAGGACTAAACAGGACTAAACCAGGACTAAACCTAAACCAGGTCTAAAACCAGGACTAAACCAGGACTAAACCAGGACTAAACCAGGTCTAAACCAGGACTAAACCAGGACTAAACCAGGTCTAAACCAGGACTAAACCAGGTCTAAACCAGGACTAAACCAGGACTAAACCAGGACTAAACCAGGTCTAAACCAGGACTAAACCAGGACTAAACCAGGTCTAAACCAGGTCTAAACCAGGACTAAACCAGGTCTAAACCAGGACTAAACCAGGACTAAACCAGGACTAAACCAGGACTAAACCAGGACTAAACCAGGACTAAACCAGGACTAAACCAGGACTAAACCAGGACTAAACCAGGACTAAACCAGGACTAAACCAGGACTAAACCAGGACTAAACCAGGTCTAAACCAGGACTAAACCAGGACTAAACCAGGTCTAAACCAGGTCTAAACCAGGTCTAAACCAGGTCTAAACCAGGACTAAACCAGGACTAAACCAGGACTTAAACCAGGTCTAAACCAGGACTAAACCAGGACTAAACCAGGACTAAACCAGGACTAAACCAGGACTAAACCAGGACTAAACCAAGGACTAAACCAGGACTAAACCAGGACTAAACCAGGACTAAACCAGGACTAAACCAGGACTAAACCAGGTCTAAACCAGGACTAAACCAGGACTAAACCAGGTCTAAACCCGGTCTAAACCAGGTCTAAACCAGGTCTAAACCAAGGACTAAACCAGGACTAAACCAGGACTTAAACCAGGTCTAAACCAGGACTAACCTGGGACTAACCTGGGACTAACCTGGGACTAAACCGGGACTAAACCGGGACTAAACTGGGACTAAACTAGGTCTAAACCAGGACTTAAACCAGGTCTAAACCAGGACTAACTTGGGACTAACCGGGACTAACCTGGGACTAAACTGGGACTAAACCAGGTCTAAACCAGGACTAAACCGGGACTAAACTGGGACTAAACCGGGACTAAACCAGGACTAAACCAGGTCTAAACCAAGGACTAAACCAGGACTAAACCGGGACTAAACCGGGACTAAACCAGGACTAAACCAGGACTAAACCAGGACTGGACCAGGACTAAACCAGGACTAAACCAGGACTAGACTGTGGAGCGTGTGAGTGTCTGAATCGATTCTTTAGACACAGATGATTTTATGTTTAGATCTTTTTGCTTTTTCTCCATCAAAACACTCGGCCCAGACCCAGAACTGGTCCAGACTCAGACTGAGCCGGACCGATCCGCTCCACACAGAACCAGAGGACACAGAAGCCGGTCCTGGTCTGAGTTCTGGTCCAGTCCTGGTCTAAACCCCGGTCTGTCCCAGGTCTCGGACTTTAACCAGTCTCGGATCCTGGAGGAGGCGGCCCTCATGAGGACCCTGTGTGGGACCCCGTCCTATTTGGCCCCTGAGGTCTTCAGCTCGGCCTCAGGCTCCGGGTATGGACTCAGCGTGGACGCCTGGAGCCTCGGCGTGCTGCTCTTCATCTGGTGAGTCCTGGTGTAGTCCTGGTTTAGTCCTGGTGTAGTCCTGGTGTAGTCCTGGTGTAGTCCTGGTGTAGTCCTGGTGAAGTCCTGGTGTAGTCCTGGTGTAGTCCTGGTGAGTCCTGGTGTAGTCCTGGTGAGTCCTGGTGAGTCCTGGTGTAGTCCTGGTGAAGTCCTGGTGTAGTCCTGGTGTAGTCCTGGTGTAGTCCTGGTGAAGTCCTGGTGAGTCCTGGTGTAGTCCTGGTGTAGTCCTGGTGTAGTCCTGGTGAGGTCCTGGTGAGTCCTGGTGTAGTCCTGGTGTAGTCCTGGTGTAGTCCTGGTGTAGTCCTGGTGTAGTCCTGGTGTAGTCCTGGTGTAAGTCCTGGTGAAGTCCTGGTGTAGTCCTGGTGTAGTCCTGGTGTAGTCCTGGTGAAGTCCTGGTGAGGTCCTGGTGTAGTCCTGGTGAAGTCCTGGTGTAGTCCTGGTGTAGTCCTGGTGTAGTCCTGGTGAAGTCCTGGTGTAGTCCTGGTGTAGTCCTGGTGAGGTCCTGGTGAGTCCTGGTGTAGTCCTGGTGTAGTCCTGGTGAAGTCCTGGTGTAGTCCTGGTGTAGTCCTGGTGAGTCCTGGTGTAGTCCTGGTGAGTCCTGGTGTAGTCCTGGTGTAGTCCTGGTGAAGTCCTGGTGTAGTCCTGTGTAGTCTGGTGAGTCTGGTGTCCTGGTGAGTCTGGTGAGTCTGGTGTAGTCCTGGTGAGTCCTGGTGAGTCCTGGTGAGTCCTGGTGAGTCCTGGTGTAGTCCTGGTGTAGTCCTGGTGTAGTCCTGGTGTAGTCCTGGTGTCCTGGTGAGTCCTGGTGTAGTCCTGGTGTAGTCCTGGTGAGTCCTGGTGAGTCCTGGTGAGTCCTGGTGAGTCCTGGTGTAGTCCTGGTGGTCCTGGTGTAGTCCTGGTGTAGTCTGGTGTAGTCCTGGTGAGTCCTGGTGAGTCTGGTGTAGTCTGGTGAGTCCTGGTGTAGTCCTGGTGAGGTCCTGGTGAGTCCTGGTGAGTCCTGGTGAGTCCTGGTGAGTCCTGGTGTAGTCCTGGTGTAGTCCTGGTGTAGTCCTGGTGTAGTCCTGGTGAGTCCTGGTGAGTCCTGGTGTAGTCCTGGTGTAGTCCTGGTGTAGTCCTGGTGAGTCCTGGTGAGGTCCTGGTGTAGTCCTGGTGAGTCCTGGTGTCCTGGTGTAGTCCTGGTGTCCTGGTGGTAGTCCTGGTGTAGTCCTGGTGTAGTCCTGGTGTAGTCCTGGTGTCCTGGTGAGTCCTGGTGTAGTCCTGGTCCTGGTGAGTCCTGGTGTAGTCCTGGTGAGTCCTGGTGTAGTCCTGGTGAGTCCTGGTGAGTCCTGGTGTAGTCCTGGTGTAGTCCTGGTGTAGTCCTGGTGTAGTCCTGGTGAGTCCTGGTGAGTCCTGGTGAGTCCTGGTGAGTCCTGGTGTAGTCCTGGTGTAGTCCTGGTGAAGTCCTGGTGTAGTCCTGGTGAGTCCTGGTGTAGTCCTGGTGTAGTCCTGGTGTAGTCTTGGCTCAAATTAAATTTGATCTCTTTTGTCTCACCCTGTTCCTCTCTTGGTCCTGGTCCTGGTCCTGGTCCTGGTCCTGGTCTAGTCTTGGGGGGTATCCTCCATTCCATGAGCAGTTTGGACCTTCAGTCCGAGACCAGATCATGAGTGGGACCTACACCATGCTCCCGAGGCAGTGGGGCCACATCTCAGACCAAGGTACAGTCCTGCTCTAGTCCTGCTCTAGTCCTGCTCTAGTCCTGCTCTAGTCCTGCTCTAGTCTTGGTCTTAATCCTGGTCTCTTGTTCCAGCGAAGGACCTGGTGCAGAAGTTGTTGGTGGTGGATCCCAGTCGGAGGTTGAGCATCGATGAGGCTCTGGAGCATCCGTGGCTGCAGGTGAGGAGGGAGGGTACGAGGCTCCGCCCCCCCAGGCTCCCACAGTACGAGACTCCGCCCCCCCAGGCTCCCACAGTACGAGACTCCGCCCCCCCAGGCTCCCACAGTACGAGACTCCGCCCCCCCAGGCTCACACAGTACAAGACTCCACCCCCCCAGGCTCCCACAGTACGAGGCTCCGCCCCCCCAGGCTCCCACAGTACGAGGCTCCGCCCCCCAGGCTCCCACAGTACGAGGCTCCGCCCCCCAGGCTCCCACAGTACGAGACTCCGCCCCCCAGGCTCCCACAGTACGAGACTCCGCCCCCCAGGCTCCCACAGTACGAGGCTCCGCCCCCAGGCTCCCACAGTACGAGGCTCCACCCCCCAGGCTCCCACAGTACGAGGCTCCGCCCCCCAGGCTCCACAGTAGAGGCTCCACCCCCCAGGCTCCACAGTACGAGGCTCCACCCCCCAGGCTCCCACAGTACGAGGCTCCACCCCCCCAGGCTCCCACACCACACTTCTCCATAAATCCACAAAAACACAACACAAAACTGAACATTTTGACTGATGTTTGTGCAGGAGTTTCAATAGTGCAACGCTCTGAAGGGGGAGCGACTCAGTCTCCGTTTCTGCAGGTTTAAAGCTCAGTTCAGATTTTTTTGTGAAATGTGATTTTGTTGTGACGTGTGTGACTCCAGTGTGAACTTTAAAAAGTGTCACACATGTGCACTGCACACGACCGCGTCACACACAGTGTGTTCAGAGTTACAGAAGTTCTAAATCTTCTGTGGAGCCAGATTCAGAACATGAACAGATGATTTGGTTTCAGGACGAGTCACAGTTTGTCATTAAAACTTCAGATTCAGGAGCAAAGGGACAAAAAATCAGATTTGAGAACTTCAGACTTCAGACTGAACGGGGCCACAGTGCTCTGAAGGGGGAGGGACTCAGCACAGAGAGCGAAGGGAGCAGAGACTCAGAGCAACAAAATCAAAAGTTAAACTTATAAAATATGAGTCTGTCTGCTGTCGATGTTCTGAGATGTTCTGAGATGTTCTGAGATGTTCTGAGATGTTCTGTTGTTTCAGGACGAGGAGATGAAGCAGCGAGTTCACACAGTCATGTATCCAGAACCTTCTACCTCCTCAGAGCCCGAAGAGACGCCCGGACCCTCGTCCTCCTCGTCCAGCAGGAGGCGCTCTGCCTCTTCTACAACTCAGGTACCTCCAGGACTAAACCAGGACTAAACCAGGACTAAACCAGGACTAAACCAGGACTAAACCAGGACTAAACCAGGACTAAACCAGGACTAAACTAAACCAGAACTAAACCAGGACTAAACCAGACTAAACCAGGACTAAACCAGGACTAAACCAGGACTAAACCAGGACTAAACCAGGACTAAACCAGGACTAAACCAGGACTAAACCAGCACTAAACCAGGACTAAACCAGGACTAAACCAGAAATAAACCAGAACTAAACCAGGACTTCAGACTAAGCCCCGCCCCCTTCACGGCCTTTGACTCGTTCCTTGTTGGTTGGTTTTGGTTTCAGGAGGATCGAGCGCCAACGTCACGAAAACGAACCCGCGGCGAAGACGAAGAACCACCGAAGAAGAGGAAACACTGACCTCTGACCTTTGACCTGTAAATACTGACCTGCTGAAATAAAGAGTTTTATTTTTACTTCATTTGTGTTTACGAGGGACAGGAGCGCACCTGACACACATGGAGCGCACCTGACACACATGGAGCGCACCTGACACACATGGAGCGCACCTGACACACATGGAGCGCACCTGACACACATGGAGCGCACCTGACACACATGGAGCGCACCTGACACACATGGAGCGCACCTGACACACATGGAGCGCACCTGACACACACGGAGCGCACCTGACACACACGGAGCGCACCTGACACACATGGAGCGCACCTGACACACACGGAGCGCACCTGACACACACGGAGCGCACCTGACACACACGGAGCGCACCTGACACACACGGAGCGCACCTGACACACATGGAGGGCACCTGACACACACATGGAGGGACCTGACACACACATGGAGGGACCTGACACACACATGGAGGGACCTGACACACATTGAGCGCACCTGACACACACGGAGGACACCTGACACACGGGGAGGACACCTGACACACATGGAGGGCACCTGACACACACGAGGAGGGCACCTGACACACATGGAGGACATCTGACACACACATAGAGGGACTTGACACACACATGGAGGGACCTGACACACACATGGAGACACACACATGGAGGGACCTGACACACACATGGAGGGACCTGACACACACATGGAGGGACTGACACACACATGGAGGGACCTGACACACACATGGAGGGACCTGACACACATGGAGGGCACCTGACACACACATGGAGGGACCTGACACACATGGAGGGATCTGACACACACATGGAGGGACCTGACACACACATGGAAGGACCTGACACACACGAGGAGGGACCTGACACACATGGAGGGCACCTGACACACACATGGAGGGACCTGACACACATGGAGGGATCTGACACACACATGGAGGGACCTGACACACACGGAAGGACCTGACACGCACATGGAGGGCACCTGACACACATATGGAGGGCACCTAGCACACATGGAGGGCACCTGACACACATATGGAGGGCACCTAGCACACATGGAGGGACCTGACACATATGGAGGGCACCTGACACACACGGGAGGGCACCTGACACACATGGAGGGCACTTGACACACACATGGAGGGCACCTGACACATGGGGAGGACACCTGACACACGAGGAGGACACCTGACACATGGGGAGGGCACCTGACACACATATGGAGGGACCTGACACACACGGAGGGACCTGACACACACGGAGGGACCTGACACACTTTTCTCTTTGTTCTTTTCATTTAAATAAATTATGATCCTCAGAATAAAACAGACACTCATCTTTTATTCACATTTCCCCAACATCATCCATCCTCCATCCTCCTCCTCCTCCTCCTGCTCTCCCCCTCCTCTCTTCCTCCTCTCCTCCTCCTCCTCCTCCTCCTCCTCCTCCTCCTCCTCCTCCTCTCCTCTCTCCTCCTCTCCTCCTCCTCCTCCCTCCTCCTCACCTCCTCCTCCTCTTCCTCCTCCTCCTCCTCCCCTCTCCTCCTCTCCTCCTCCTCCTCCTTCCTCCTCCTCTCCTCCTCTCTCTCCTCCTCCTCCTCCTCCTCCTCCTCCTCCTCCTCCTTCCTCCTCCTCCTCCTCCTCCTCTCCTCCTCTCCTCCTCCTCCTCACCTCCTCCTCCTCTCCTCCTCTCCTCCTCCTCCTCTCCCCCTCCTCCTCCTCCTCCTCCTCCTCCTCTCCTCCTCCTCCTCCTCCTCCTCCTCCTCCTCCTCCTCCTCTCCCTCCCTCTCTCTCTCTCTCTCTCTCTCTCTCTCTCTCTCTTTCTGTCTTCCTTTTCTCTTCTCTCTCTTTTTCTTCTTCTTCGTGCGTCACGTTTTTCGCTCCTTTTTTTTTTCGGCCGAAGGAAACGAGGAAAGGAGCCGAGGAAAGGAGACAGATGGAGGGTCCTTGTGCCAGCGGTGACGTCAGCGCGCACACTGACGCTCCTCGCACACGCACGCTGCTCACACGCACACGCACGCTCCTCCGTGTGATGGACGCAGCAGCAGCCGAGACGAAAGCAGGTAAGACCGGGTCTGGACCGAGTCTGGACCGGGTCTGGACCGGGTCTGGACCGGGTCTGGACCGGGTCTGGACCGGGTCTGAGTCAGATTTAAATCAGGACTAACCCAGGACCGGACCGGGACCACGGGAGGCGCGCGCGCTAATTGGCAACAGAGAAACAGCTCCGAGAGGCCGAGACTGGTCCTGATGTAGTCCTGGTTTAGTCCTGATGTAGTCCTGGTTTAGTCCTGGTTTAGTTCTGGTTTAGTCCTGGTTTAGTTCTGGTTTAGTTCTGGTTTAGTCCTGGTTTAGACCTGGTTTAGTCCTGGTTTAGACCTGGTTTAGACCTGGTTTAGTCCTGGTTTAGACCTGGTTTAGTCCTGGTTTAGACCTGGTTTAGTCCTGGTTTAGTTCTGGTTTAGTTCTGGTTTAGACCTGGTTTAGTCCTGGTTAAGACCTGGTTTAGACCTGGTTTAGTCCTGATGTAGTCCTGGTTTAGTCCTGGTTTAGTCCTGGTTTAGTCCTGGTTTAGAGTTTAGACCTGGTTTAGTTCCTGGTTTAGTCCTGGTTTAGACCTGGTTTAGTCCTGGTTTAGACCTGGTTTAGTCCTGGTTTAGTCCTGGTTTTAGTCCTGGTTTAGTCCTGGTTTAGACCTGGTTTAGACCTGGTTTTCCTGGTTTTAGACCTGGTTTAGTTCTGGTTTAGTCCTGGTTTAGTCCTGGTTTAGTCCTGGTTTAGTCCTGGTTTAGTTCCTGGTTTAGACCTGGTTTAGACCTGGTTTAGTCCTGGTTTAGACCTGGTTTTAGACCTGGTTTAGTCCTGGTTTAGTCCCTGGTTTAGACCTGGTTTAGACCTGGTTTAGTCCTGGTTTAGTCCTGGTTTAGTCCTGGTTTAGTCCTGGTTTAGACCTGGTTTAGACCTGGTTTAGACCTGGTTTAGACCTGGTTTAGACCTGGTTTAGACCTGGTTTAGTCCTGGTTCTGGAGCAGGTGTGAAGCTGCGGTGGGAGGAGGTGTTGTTGTTGTTGTTGGAGTTATTCAAGGGACAGGAGCAGACAGGAGCAGACAGGAGCAGGCAGGAGCAGACAGGAGCAGACAGGAGCAGGCAGGAGCAGGCAGCAGACAGGAGCAGACAGGAGCAGACAGGAGCAGACAGGAGCAGGCAGGAGCAGGCAGGAGCAGACAGGAGCAGACAGGAGCAGACAGGAGCAGGTGTCAGATGGTTGGTGAGTGTGAGGACACTGCCCCCTGGAGACGCCTCATCCCTCTGTCGTCTGTTTGTTCAGTTGTTCCTCCTCCTCTCTCCTCTCCTCCTCTCTCCTCTCTCCTCTCCTCTCCTCTCTCTCCTCTCCTCTCCTCCTCCTCTCTCCTCCTCTCCTCCTCTCCTCCTCTCCTCTCCTCCTCTCTCCTCTCTCCTCTCTCCTCTCCTCTCTCCTCCTCCTCCTCCTCTCCTCTCTCTCCTCTCCTCCTCTCCTCCTCTCTCCTCTCCTCTCTCTCCTCTCCTCCTCTCTCCTCTCTCCTCTCCTCTCTCTCCTCTCCTCCTCTCTCTCTCTCCTCTCTCTCTCCTCTCCTCCTCTCCTCCTCTCCTCTCCTCCTCTCCTCCTCCTCCTCTCTCCTCCTCCTCCTCCTCCTCCTCTCCCTCCTCCTTCCTGTCTCTCTTTTCTTTTCGTCTTCCTCTCTCTACCCCGCCCATCCCTCCATCCATCTCTCTCTCTCTGGTTTGTGTTTGTTCAGGGAGCATCAGTGTTTGTGTTCAGAGCTGCTTTCTTCTCTTTTTTTTACTTGTGCCTCTCTCTTCCTCTCTCTGGTTCCCCCCCTGGTTCCTCCCTGGTTCCTCCCTGGTTCCTCCCTGGTTCCTCCCTGGTTCCTCTCTTGTTCCTCCCTGGTTCCTCCCTGGTTCCTCCCTGGTTCCCCCCTGGTTCCTCCCTGGTTCCTCCCTGGTTCCTCCTTGTTCCTCCCTGTTCCTCCCTGGTTCCCCCCTGGTTCCTCCCTGGTTCCTCCCTGGTTCCTCCCTGGTTCCTCTCTGGTTCCTCTCTGGTTCCCCCCTGGTTCCCCCCTGGTTCCTCCCTGGTTCCTCCCTGGTTCCTCTCTTGTTCCTCCCTGGTTCCTCCCTGGTTCCTCTCTGGTTCCCCCCTGGTTCCTCCTTGGTTCCTCCCTGGTTCCTCCCTGGTTCCTCCCTGGTTCCCTGGTTCCCCCTGGTTCCCCCCTGGTTCCTCCCTGGTTCCTCTCTCTGGTTCCCCTCCCTGGTTCCCCCCTGGTTCCTCCCTGGTTCCTCCCTGGTTCCTCCCTGGTTCCCCCTGGTTCCCCCCTGGTTCCCCCCTGGTTCCTCCCTGGTTCCTCCTGGTTCCTCCCTGTTCCTCCCTGGTTCCTCCCTGTTCCTCCCTGTTCCTCTCCTGGTTCCTCCCTGGTTCCTCCCTGGTTCCTCCCTGGTTCCCCCTGGTTCCCCCCTGGTTCCTCCCTGGTTCCTCTCTTGTTCCTCCCTTGTTCCTCCCTGGTTCCTCCCTGGTTCCTCTCTGGTTCCTCCCTGGTTCCCCCTGGGTTCCCCCCTGGTTCCTCCCTGGTTCCTCCCTGGTTCCTTCAGTCTTCTTCAGGATGGACAGTGAGGAGAGCGTCAGTGGTTCTTGGTTGGCTCTTCTGCTGCTCGGGGCTCAGCTCACTCTGGTAAAGAACGTCTCCTGATCTTCTGATGTTCTGATGTTTCCTTCACACTCAGATCTGGACTCGTGTTTGTTTGTGTTTGTTACGTCTCCAAAACTCCAAACACTCTGCTCCACCTCGTGATGTCATGATGTGGTAGTTGTTGTGGGCTGAAGATGTTCGAGTTTTCACTTTTGTTCTCGTCCAGTGTCGGGAAGTTTACTTTTGAACTGTAATCCCCTACAGATTACAGATTACATCCCCCAAAATCTAGTTTGTAACGTAATCCATGACGTTACTTAAAGTGAGTAATGTAATCTGATTACTTTGGATTACTTGGTTTGCTTTTAAATCCTGTTTGAGACATAGTTTAGACCTGATTTAGTCCTGATTTAGTCCTGGTTTAGACCTGGTTTAGACCTGGTTTAGACCTGGTTTAGACCTGGTTTAGACCTGGTTTAGACCTGGTTTAGTTTGGTTTAGACCTGGTTTGGACCTGGTTTAGAGGTTTAGTGGTTTACCTGGTTTAGTCCTGGTTTAGGACCTGGTTTGGACCTGGTTTAGACCTGGTTTAGTCCTGGTTTAGACCTCCTGGTTTAGTCCTGGTTTAGACCTGGTTTAGTGGTTTGGACCTGGTTTAGACCTGGTTTAGACCTGGTTTGACCTGGTTTAGTCCTGGTTTAGTCCTGGTTTAGTCCTGGTTTAGTCCTGGTTTAGTCCTGGTTTAGTCCTGGTTTAGTCCTGGTTTAGTCCTAGTCCTGGTTTAGTAGTCCTAGTCCTTTTAGTCGTTTAGTCCTGGTTTAGTCCTGGTTTAGTCCTGGTTTAGTCCTGGTTTAGTCCTGGTTTAGTCCTGGTTTAGTCCTGGTTTAGTCCTGGTTTAGTCCTGGTTTAGTCCTGGTTTAGTCCTGGTTTAGTCCTGGTTTAGTCCTGGTTTAACAGTAACCTGGTTTAATCCAAGTTTCCACTCACTGAAACAGTAACTGTAACTGAATACAGTTACTCATCATTTGTACTCTGATTACTCTGGTACTTGTAATCTGTTACTCCTGGTCTTGGTGCAGGAGAAAATACAAATATTTATAAATATATTTGAACATGAAAATAAAAACATGAATTGGTCACAGATCTGGTTTGATCCGGTTTGATCTGGTTTGATCCGGTTTGATCCGGTTTGATCCTGGGCAGATTCTCTGAGGCGACGTTAAAATCAAAAAGAACTGACGCTTAAAAAAGTAACTTTAGTCATTTATACAAACATGAATTTAGTGAAATGAAAGGCACAAACGCTCACACAGTCGCTGCTTCTGTTTTAGCTCCGTGAGTCGTTTTTATCGCCTCGTCTTCTCATCTTTCGCTCGTGTTTCACACTTTGGTTCCACGGATCGAGTGTGGAACCAAAATAAAAGCACAGATTTCAAAATAAAAGTCTTTGTATTAAAATAAACTAAATAAAAACAGAAGCAAGTTCCTCGGCTCCTTTTCCCTTTAGTTCAGTCGAATCAGAACAGTTCCACGACTCAAATGATCCAGATGTTTCTAGTGAAGGTGTGTAGAGTTTAAAAACACAGTGGAGCACTTCCTGTATCACCACATGATGACATCACAAGGTGGAACAGGGTGTTTTCGATGATGAAACAACATTAGAACAGAGCAGACTGCACATCTCACACTTGCACAGGAACATCACGGAGCATCTCTCGTTCTTCTGTCCTCACGTTCTTCTGTCCTCACGTTCTTCTGTCCTCACGTTCTTCTGTCCTCACGTTCTTCTGTCCTCATGTTCTCATGTTCTCCTGTTCTCATGTTCTCCTGTTCTCGTCCAGGTGGGTCCCTCCGCCCCCTCGTCGCTCCGGGACGATCCCTGGCAGGTTTACAGCTCGGCCCAGGATCCAGAGGGACGCTGCGTCTGCACCGTCGTCGCCCCCCAACAGAACATCTGCAACAGAGACGCCAGGAGCAGACAACTGAGGAACCTCCTGGAGAAGGTGAGAGGAGGAGAAGGAGAGGGGAGGATAGTGACACAGATGTTCAGATGCAGATGTTTGTGGTGGTACAGAGGAGAGTCAGACGGTGCAGAAGATGTTCTGATGTGTCCAGGTGCAGAACCTGAGCTCGTCCATCTTGGCGTTGGACCTGAGGACCGTCTCAGAGCTTCAGTTCGTGGAGCAGATGGAGACTCAGCTCAGGACCGTTGAGTCCAGGTTTAAGGAGGTTCAAGAGGGACACGAGACCAGCACCGCCCGGCAGTACAAGGTCTGGACCAGGACCAGGACCAGGACTCAGACCAGGACCAGGACTAAAATCAGGACTAAGCTTAAGACCAGGACTAAGACAAGGACCAGAGGAACTCAAACTCACAAACCTACAGCCTGCTGACCCGGAGCACACAGGCGGACCCGGTGCACACAGGCGGACCCGGAGCACACAGGCGGACCCGGTGCACACAGGCGGACCCGGAGCACACAGGCGGACCCGGAGCACACAGGCGGACCCGGTGCACACAGGCGGACCCGGTGCACACAGGCGGACCCGGTGCACACAGGTGCTGGTCTCAAGTGAAGCGGTGCAGGTCTGAGTTGCTTCAGTGAAACTGTCAGAGCCTCGTTAAATCAGTTCTGGTTGTTTTTGTCGCTCGTGACTCGGGGTTCGTTTTGTCGCAGGTCGAGCTTTGTCCCTCGTCTTCTTCACTCACCACAAACAGGAAATGACATCATGAGTCTCCCTCCCATGATGCATCTGGAACAGTTGGTTTGGACCTTCTGTCTCTGGTCTGGACCTGAGTTGGCGACTCACCCTCAGGTTCAGTTGTGTGTAAAAGTTTCAGTCGTTCTTGGATCTGCACTAAATCAAACGGACTGAGACTCAAAAAAGTCCTGGTCTCGGTCCAACTGCCAAACTCTGGTCCCTCTGGTGACGCCAACTCAGGTCCAGACCAGAGGCAGCAGGTCCAGACCAACTGTTCCAGATGCTTCATGGGAGGGACACGGACCTCGTGGGTCTTTTGAACGATCTCGGTCTCTTTGTCATGTGACACGTCCATGAAACCAGAGCGTTTCCTCCTGAAAAGACGCTCGATCCTTCAGACTCCAGGGCCGTGACAGATCCTTCTCCAGACGCATAAACGAAGATCAGAGTGAAACCAACGCGCCAACGTTTCGCTCCAGAGACGCAAAACTGACGCTTATTTCTACCGAAGATAAACGAGGATCAGCGTCAGTGGGACCAGGTTTGGTCGGTTTGATGTGAAAGAACCAAACTGGAGCCTGAGATACAAGAAATATTTTACTGAAAGAGTCAAACTAGAGAGAAAGAACCTGAGACCAGGACTAGACCAGGACTAGACCAGGACTAGACCAGGACTAGACTATAACAGAACAGGACTTGGTCTAACCCCGGTCTCTGTCCTCAGTGGATGCGTGAGAAGATGGCGGAGCTCCGCCCCCTGATCCCCGCCCTGGAGTCATACCGCGCTGACGCGGCGCTGGTGCGGCGTTTTAAGGCGGAGCTTCAGAACGTGAGCGAGGAGCTGTCGACTCTGCACGAGCACGTCCACGAACTCGGAGACGTCCACGAGAGAGTGACGGACCTCGAACTGCGCCTTAAAGCCTGCATGAACCGCCTGGGTAAGACCTCAGAGGACCTCAGAGGACCTCAAGAGGACCTCAGGAGGACCTCAGGAGGACCTCAGGAGGACCTCAGGGGACCTCAGGGGGGTCTCAGGAGGACCTCAGGGGACCTCAGGAGGACCTCAGGAGGACCTCAGGAGGACCTCAGGGGACCTCAGGAGGACCTCAGGAGGACCTCAGGGGGACCTCAGGAGGACCTCAGGAGGACCTCAGGAGGACCTCAGGAGGACCCAGTGAGGTCAGACCTCAAAAAAAGAACTGTTCTAGTGTCTGTGTCTCTTCAACAGATTCTTCTCAGAAACACCTCAAAACTCACCTGTGTGTTTGTGTGTGTGTGTGTGTGTGTGTGTGTGTGTGTGTGTGTGTGTGTGTGTGTGTGTGTGTGTGTGTGTGTGTGTGTGTGTGTGTGTGTGTGTGTGTGTGTGTGTGTGTGTGTGTGTGTGTGTGTGTGTGTGTGTGTGTGTGTGTGTGTGTGTGTGTGTGTGTGTGTGTGTGTGTGTGTGTGTGTGTGTGTGTGTGTGTGTGTGTGTGTGTGTGTGTGTGTGTTGTGTGTGTGTGTGTGTGTGTGTGTGTGTGTGTGTGTGTGTGTGTGTGTGTGTGTGTGTGTGTGTGTGTGTGTGTGTGTGTGTGTGTGTGTGTGTGTGTGTGTGTGTCTGTGTGTGTGTGTGTGTGTGTGTGTGTGTGTGTGTGTGTGTGTCTGTGTGTGTGTGTGTGTGTGTGTGTCTGTGTGTGTGTGTGTGTGTGTGTGTGTGTGTGTGTGTGTGTGTGTCTGTGTGTGTGTGTGTGTGTGTGTGTGTGTGTGTGTGTGTGTGTGCTGTGTGTGTGTGTGTGTCTGTGTGTGTGTGTGTGTGTGTGTGTGTCTGTGTGTGTGTGTGTGTGTGTCTGTGTGTGTGTGTGTGTGTGTGTGTGTGTGTGTGTGTGTGTGTGTGTGTGTGTGTGTGTGTGTGTGTGTGTGTGTTTGTTTTTCAGCCTGTGGGAAACTCACTGGGATTTCTGATCCTGTCACCATAAAAACTTCAGGCTCCAGGTTTGGATCCTGGATGACCGACCCCCTGGCCCCACCTGGAGACACACGGGTCAGTACAGCCCTGCCCCTGTCTGCTCCTGTCTGCCCCTGTCTGCCCCTGTCTGCTCCTGTCTGCTCCTGTCTGCTCCTGTCTGCTCCTGTCTGCTCCTGTCTGCCCCTGTCTGCCTGTCTGCCCCTGTCTGCTCCTGTCTGCTCCTGTCTGCTCCTGTCTGCTCCTGTCTGCTCCCTGTCTGCTCCTGTCTGCTGTCTGCTGTCTGCCCTGTCTGCTCCTGTCTGCTCCTGTCTGCTCCTGTCTGCCCTGTCTGCTCCTGTCTGCCCTGTCTGCTCCTGTCTGCTCCTGTCTGCTCCCTGTCTGCCCCTGTCTGCTCCTGTCTGCTCCTGTCTGCTGTCTGCCCTGTCTGCCCCTGTCTGCTCCTGTCTGCTCCCTGTCTGCTCCTGTCTGCTCCTGTCTGCTCTGCTCCCTGTCTGCTGCCTGTCTGCTCCTGTCTGCTCCTGTCTGCTCCTGTCTGCTCCTGTCTGCTCCTGTCTGCTCCTGTCTGCTCCTGTCTGCCCCTGTCTGCTGCCTGTCTGCTCCCTGTCTGCTCCTGTCTGCCCCTGTCTGCCCCTGTCTGCTCCTGTCTGTTTTTGTGTTTGACACTTTCAGTTTCAGATGAAAATAACAAACATGAGGCTTAAAGACGAAACAGTTTTATTTACTATTTTTGTCTTAATCTGAAGATAAACCTGCTGGAATATAAATCTAAATAAATAAATAAATATAATATATTTATAATAATACTTATAAATAAAGAAAGTTATATATTTATATTATTATATAATAATAGTTTTACACAAATCAAGAATCTGAAGAAAAGAGAAAAACCTGCTGAAAACGACAGGAAATAAACTGACGACGTCACAGTGGGAGAATACTTGTGTTACTGCTGTAAAAGTGTGTACATTTACAGTACTTGTACTTGTACTTGTACTTTCAGGTGTAGTACATGTACAGTAATAGTACCTGTACTTGTACTTGTACTTTCAGGTGTGGTACATGGACGGGTACCATAATAACCGCTTCGTGAGGGAGTACCCGAGCCTGTGGGACTTCATGAGTTCGGAGAACTACACGTCTCACCGTCTGCCCCACCCGTGGTCGGGCACCGGGCAGGTCGTGTACAACGGGTCCCTCTACTTCAACAAGTTCCAGTCCCACACCATCATCAAGTTCGACCTGAGGGCGGGACTCATCACCCGAGCTCGCCAACTCGACTTCGCAGGTATAGACACGGGACCAGGGGTAGACCGGGTACAGACCGAGTACAGACCGGTACAGACCGAGTACAGACCGAGTACAGACCGAGTACAGACCGGTAGACCGAGTACAGACCGAGTACAGACCGGGTACAGACCGAGTACAGACCGGGTACAGACCGAGTACAGACCGAGTACAGACCGAGTACAGACCGGGTACAGACCAAATACAGACCGAGTACAGACCACATACAGACCGAGTACAGACCGAGTACAGACCGAGTACAGACCGGGTACAGACCGAGTACAGACCGAATACAGACCGAGTACAGACCGAGTACAGACCGAGTACAGACCGAGTACAGACCGAATACAGACCGAGTACAGACCGAGTACAGACCGAATACAGACCGGGTACAGACCGAATACAGACCGAGTACAGACCGGGTACAGACCGAGTACAGACCGGGTACAGACTGACTACAGACTGAGTACAGACCAAGTACAGACCGGGTACAGACCGAGTACAGACCGAGTACAGACCGGGTACAGACCGAGTACAGACCAAGTACAGACCGGGTACAGACCGAGTACAGACCGAGTACAGACCGAGTACAGACCGAGTACAGACCGAGTACAGACCGGGTACAGACTGTCCTAGGGTAGCTGTGGATACAGGAGTCTCTCAGAGTGGAGTGAAGTAGTAGTAGTAGTAGTACTTGTAGTACTTGTAGTAGTTGTAGTAGTAGTAGTAGTGGTACTTGTAGTAGTACTTGTAGTGCTACGCGTCTCACAGTAGTGTGTGCATGTGTGTGTGTGTGTGTGTGTGTGTGACTCTCCGTGTGGCGCCCCCTTGTGTTCCAGGGTATAATAACATGTACCATTACTCGTGGGGGGGGCACTCGGACATCGACCTGATGGTGGACGAGGGGGGGCTGTGGGCCGTTTACGCCACGCACCAAAACGCCGGAAACATCGTCATCAGCCAATTAGACGCCGAGTCTCTGACCATCACCCGCAGCTGGGTCACCAACCACCCCAAACGCAGCGCCGGAGAGTCCTTCATGATCTGCGGCACCCTCTACGTCACCAACGGGTACTCAGGGGGCACCAAGGTGAGGCCAGCAGGGGGCACCAACGGGTACTCAGGGGGCACCAAGGTGAGGCCAGCAGGGGGCACCAACGGGTACTCAGGGGGCACCAAGGTGAGGCCAGCAGGGGGCACCAACGGGTACTCAGGGGGCACCAAGGTGAGGCCAGCAGGGGGCACCAACGGGTACTCAGGGGGCACTAGGGCGAGGCCAGGGGGCAGAAGCATCTCGTTGGAGCTCGTGTGTCTCCTCCTTCTCCTCGCCATTAACTCTTCTTCCTCTTCCTCCTCTTCCTCTTTCTCCTCTTCCTCTTCCTCCTCTTCTTCTTCTTTTTCAGGTGTACTACGCGTTCTCCACGAACTCTTCTTCGTACGAGTACATCGACATTCCTCTGGTGAATAAATACAGTCACCTGTCCATGCTCGACTACAACCCCCGAGAGAGGGCGCTGTACGGCTGGAACAACGGCCACCAGGTACCGGACCAGGACCGGGACTAAGACCAGGACTAAGACTAAGACCAGGACTACGACCAGGACTACGACCAGGACTACGACCAGGACCACGACCAGGACTAAGACTCCGAGAGAGGGCGCTGTACGGCTGGAACAACGGCCACCAGGTACCAGACCGGGACCAGGACTAAGACCAAGACCAGGACCAAGACCAGGACCAAGACCAAGACCAGGACCAAGACCAGGACCAAGACCAGGACCAAGACCAAGACCAGGACCAAGACCAGGACCAAGACCAGGACCAAGACCAGGACTAAGACCAGAACTAAGACCAGGATTAAGACCAGGACCAAGACCAGGACCAAGACCAGAACTAAGACCAGAACTAAGACCAGAACTAAGACCAGAACTAAGACCAAGACCAGAACCAAGACCAGAACCAAGACCAGGACCAAGACCAGGACCAAGACCAAGACCAGGACCAAGACCAGGACCAAGACCAGGACCAAGACCAGGACCAAGACCAGAACTAAGACCAGAACTAAGACCAGAACTAAGACCAAGACCAGGACCAGGACCAGAACCAAGACCATACATGAGGTTCTGACCCGGTTCTCTTGGTTCTGTTTCAGGTTCTGTACAACGTGACGCTGTACCACATCATCCAGTAGACGGCGCCGCGTCCCAGGAACTGAACCTTAATATTAATTTTTTATTTATTTACAATTTCCTCCGACTGTTTCTGAACCGGGACTAAACCAGGACCAGGACTAAACCAGGACTAAACCAGGAGCAAGCCAGGACTGAACCAAGTCTAGACCAAGAGAAAAACAGGATTAAGCCAAGACCAGACCAGGACTAGACCCAATCAGGCGACAATCAGACTGTTATTATGATTTTTACAGATTCTCGTTTGAAGCACAAAAGGTCGCCAGTGTTTTCTACTGCACCGAGCGCACGCCACACACATCCGACCAGAACCAACCAGAACCAGACCAGAACCAGACCAGAACCAGACCAGAACCAAACCAGAACACCACCAAAACTCACCTCCAAGTCCCCAAACACAGAGGAATGAAACTCATGAACCCCACAGCCCCATAGTCCCTCCCACAGCCCCTCCCACATCACCATAGCCCCTCCCACAGCCCCATAGTCCCTCCCATAGCCCCTCCCACATCCCCATAGCCCCTCCCATAGTTCCATGGCCCCTCCCACATCTCCATAGCCCCTCCCATAGTCCCATAGCTCCTCCCATAGCCCCTCCCATATCCCCATAGCCCCTCCCACATCACCATAGCCCCTCCCACAACCCCACAGCCTCATAGCTCCTCCCACATCCCCATAGCCCCTCCCATAGTCCCTCCCATATCCCCATAGCCCCTCCCACATCACCATAGCCCCTCCCACATCCCCACAGCCTCATAGCTCCTCCCACATCCCCATAGCCCCTCCCACAGCCCCGTAGCCCCTCCCACAGCCCCATAGCCCCTCCCACATCCCCATAGCCCCTCCCACAGCCCCACAACCCCTCCCACATCCCCACAGCCCCTCCCACAGAACAGAACCGGTCGCCGGGTGGTTCTTGGGCAGAAAGCGTGAGTAAAACGCCGCACCTCAGTGTCTTGTGTACAGTCGTATTAACAGCAATAGGACGCAGAGAGGCATCGTGGGTAACGTAGTCCAGACGCCACACGACTGTTTTTACACTAATGTTTGAGACTCGAGCACAAAGTCCACTTCACACTTCAACAACACACTTCAACAACACACTTCAACAACACACTTCACACCTGAAACACACAACACACACAACACAGAGACACACAGACACAACACACACTTCACACCTGAAACACACAACACACACAACACAGAGACACACAGACACAACACACACTTCACACCTGAAACACACAACACACACAACACAGAGACACACAGACACAACACACACTTCACACCTGAAACACAAAACATCACACAATATCACACACAACACACAGACACACAACATCACACAGACACACAACATCACACACACACACACACAACATCACACACAACATCACACACACACACACACACACACACACACAACATCACACACACACACAACACACACACACACACACACACACACACACACACACACACACACACACACACACACACACACACACACACACACACACACACACACACACACACACACACACACACACACACACACACACAACATCACACACACACAACATCACACACACACACACACACACACACACACACACACACACACACACACACACACACATCACACACACACACACACACACACACACACACACACACACACACACACACACACACACACATCACACACACACACACACACACACACACACACACACACACACACACACACACACACACACAACATCACACACAAACACAACACACACACACACACACACACACACACACACACACACACACATCACACACACACACACACACACACACACACACACACACACAACACACATCACACACACAACACACACACACACACACACACACACACACACACACACACACACACACACACACACATCACACACACACACAACACACACACACACACAACACACACACACACACACACAACACACACACACACACACACACACACACACACACACACACAACACACACACACACACACACACACACACACACACACACACACACACACACACACACACACACACACACATCACACACACACACACACAACACACAACAACACACACACACACACACACAACACACACACACACACACACACACAACATCACACACACACACAACACACACACACACACACACACACACACACAACACACACACACACACACACACACACACACACACACACACATCACACACACACACACACATCACACACACACACACACACACACACACACACACACACACACACACACACATCACACACACACACACACACACACACACAACACACACACACACACACACACAACACACACACACACACACACACACACACACACACACACACACACACACACACACACACACACACACACACACACACACACACACACACACACACACACACACACACACACACACAACACACACACACACACACACACACACACACACACAACACACACACACACACACACACACACACACACACACACACACACACACACACACACACACACACACACACACACACACACACACACACACACAACACACACACACACACACACACACACACACACACAACACACACACACACACACACACACACACACACACACACACACACACACACACACACACAACAACACACACACACACAACAACACACACACACACACACACACACACACACACAACAACACACACACACACAACATCACACACACACACAACAACACACACACACACACACACAACATCACACACAGAGACACACACAGTTGTTCATTAGCACAAAAAACATTTGTGTTTTGTTTTGCACATTTTTGATGAGATCTGCAGTTTTGTTTGACCCCCGACCCTGAAACTGACCCCTGACCCCGACCCTGAAACTGACCCCTGACCCCGACCCTGAAACTGATCCCTGACCCCGACCCTGAAACTGACCCCTGACCCCGACCCTGAAACTGACCCCTGACCCCGACCCTGAAAATGACCCCTGACCCCGACCCTGAAACTGACCCCTGACCCTTTTCCACACAAACTGAGCTGGAGCCAGAGCCCATGGAGCCCAAACACGCCCATGATCACTTCACCTGTTTGGAACACGGCGACTAAAGGGTCAGAGACGTCCACAGAGATGCACCGTCTGACCCCTGACCTCTGACCTCTGACCCCTGACCTCTGACCTCTGACCTCTGACCCCTGACAGAATTAAGTTTTCTTTAGTTTCGGTTGTTTTTTCAGAAAGGGTTAGGTGGAAACCAGAGACCCAAACATCTGACCCAAACAAACATCTGACCCAGACCCAAACGTTGGACCCAGTTGTGGTGCAGGTCTCTGTCATGAGTATTTCAATATTTGTATTTATTTATTTATTTTGGATGTAACTTAACTTAAACAAACTCAAACTGAATCCTTCACAAACAGAATCTGAACTTTGTGTCATTTTCACTTTTAAACTGAAGTCAGAAGCTTCAGCCCAGACTCACACACACCAGGTCCAGGTTCTGTGTGAGTCGGGTCAGTTCGGGGTTCTGTGTGAGTCGGGTCAGTTCGGGGTTCTGTGTGAGTCGGGTCAGTTCGGGGTTCTGT